TAGTTATATTATAGTATTTTTTATAAGTTTTTTTACTTTACAAAATTAATAATTATAAAATTTTCTATTTGGATATAATAATTAAAATTATTGAGAAATTAAACTGATGTTTAAGTTCATGCATAGGTAAATATATTCAGAGGTAAATATATGAAATATAATAAATTTATTCAATGTTTTATTAAAGTTAATAAAGAAATGTTAAGTTTTTCAAGATAAAATGTTTTACGAAAATAAATATAACATCCATTAATATATTATTGTTTTTCTGAATTCTTATATTATATTTAATACTAATTCATTACAATTTCATTAATTTGTTATGTTCAAAATCTTTTTAATCCCCTGTATTTCGATTTTATAACATATGAAAATATAATAAAGAATAATCTATACTTCTTTCGAAATTGAAAATATTATATTATCTTTGTTAAATTCACAAAATTATGACATGAAAAAGTTATTAAATTATATCCTATAAGTCAATTTAAAAAGTTTGTTCATTGAAAAGTAATAAAATATGCTGATATTAAGGATAAGGTTTCATTTATAGCAGAAAGGTTGTAAACTCATCGAAGATTGCTAGAGAAGTGAAAATGAATAGAAAAAAGACGAGCCGGGCAATTGAGAGTTTGTGTTATGAAAGCAAAGTTTCGAATTTTAATGTGCTTTATTCGACCATTGAATGTAGAATTTAACGGTCGTTCCATGAATGCAAAATGCTTCAAGTTTGTAATTCTAAAACTAACAAATCGAATAATTGATTTAATTTATTAGTTCGGAAGACACAGAATGTCGATTATTATCTTTGCTGTGATGAAGTTTTAAATATATCATTTCGAATATCTTCTTCAGATAGTCTGAATATATAAATTTAAAAGTAGAAAAATTAGTATTCAATATAAAATAGTGAACTTCTTCAAAATTCAAAATTTTACTTAATCGTACTCATTAGGATAGTAATTTTGAAAGCAAATTTTTATGAAAATATAGTTCATAAACATAGAAAATTAAAATAAAAAACGAATACTTTTTCAAAAGTATGATAACAGATTCCAGATTTAATAATTTTCATTTATAAATAATAAGTAAGAATCTTCTGATAATGCTTAATATTTCTATTACAAATAAGATAAATTGAATCTATAATATTAGGACTAATACTCGTAATATTAATGTTACATGCGCATGCATACAAATATTCACACTCGTACACGCATGTACGCACATATATAATTTAAATATTAAATATGATAATGGAAAATCATTAAAAGTATAATTGTACAAATTAGTACATATTTTCTTATATTTTCCTGTAAAAAAATATTAGGTGGTATTTTTAATTATACAAATATACAAAATATCAGTTTATATATTCTTTTTATCAAAAACATAAAAGAATAATAATCAAATACATAGTAATATAAATATGAAGATCTTATTTGTCAGTAATTATATCTTTAAACGGTTTAAAAAGAAAAAGAGAAAACAACCTCAGATTTACAGCTATTTATAAAAATAGTCAACTAGATTTTTTGATTTTTACACAATCTTTAATGCTACTTGCAATAAAATATTGTTCATTGTACTTTAATATCTTGTTCTATATAATTTGAAAAGTTGAATAAAAATTCAGTAAAAATTATCAGTATATTTTATATGACTTTGTATATTGAAATTTAAATAACTTTAACTCTTATATCTTATTAAAATGATGATGTATAATTTTTAAATTGTATATGTAATAATTAAGTATAAATAAAGTTCTTATAAAATACGTAAGAGTCATTCAAATATATTTTAAAATTCCTATAAAATATTCGATAATATATAAGATAATAAATAGACATATAAGATCCATAAGATTTCAAAGGATATATGCCATATTTGAATGCAATTTAACAATTTCAACTACAAGCTAAAAGAAATAATAATTCTTACTTAGCGATCAGTTAACATAAATTTGTTGATATAGACTTTACTTTTTTCGTACTACTTATCCTTTACCGGCGAACCATAAAGCCTTATTATTATCCATAAATATGACTTTTACCATATGTGAATTATTCATAAATATATGATTTTTACAACTATTAAAGACGTAATAATTTTTAAATAAAATCAAAATTTGTTCATATATAATACTGAAAGAATCTTTATTTTAAATAGAAAGTAGAAAAAGATAATGTTTACAGAAATATGTTGCTTTTTATGCCTGCGGTAGGATCGGACGAACAAAAAGAAAGTGAGATTAAAAGTTATAAAAAAATAAAAGAAAGTATAAAACCAATTAGTCAATCAATGGTATACGTTCCTCCAATTAATCTCTCCCTCTCGCTCTCTCTATCGCGCGCTGTCTCTCTCTCTCTCGATCTATCTCTCGCTCTCTCCCTCTCTCTCTCTCTCGATCTATCTCGCTCTCTCTCTCTCTCTCGATCTATCTCTCTGCTTGATATGAATTAGCATGTAACAAAATTAGTGCGTGGACAGATTAAATAGCGGCAGCTATCGTTGTTCATGTAGCATCAAGAAAGCATTTTGGTAGGCAAATCCACAATGAGCGATAGAAAATTTAATAGAAAGAAGGAGAGAGGATTGAAGTCACTAGAGAGCGAAAAGTGCGCAACAGGTTACATTTGATACTAAAGCCTCAGCAATTGCTGCCTCCCTCACCGTATATCCAACCTCATACCCTACCACCGCCATATTTCCGACACGACAACGCACCCTTCTTGTTTATTTGAGCTCGCAGAGTTTCCTTGTAACTTCATGACTATCATGCCTGTTCAACTTCACGTGCATTATATACAATCAGTTGTCCGAATCAATTTTTTTCTTAAGACCTGTGAGTCTTCGCTCGATATTTAAATGTACTGCTCACATGTTTCGTCCTATTAGGTATTTGATTGGGTTTTAAACTTAATAAATAACATTTATATCATAAAATATCAGTGAAAATGTAAAATAACTGGTTAAAAAATTGGAAACAACTTAGTTATTTTGTCTTTAATAATATTAATTAATCAATAAGAAGTGAGAATTTGAAGATTCTAAATATTTTCATAATAACATGCAATATATATATATACATATATATATATATATATATATATATATATATATATATATATTTAATAAATAATTAAAATTAATACTGACAGAGTTTTCTTAATCTTTTCTTTTAATGCTCTTAAAAAATCTATTAGATGTTTTAAGATTAGATGTTATATTTTCTGATAATCAATTTCTATTAAGTAGTACATCAGGTATTTATTTATAGATTGATTATAAGATAAATATTGTTACATAAAAATTTTAATTTCGTTATATTTAAGTAGTTTAACGTTAATAAATTTTCCATAAGTAAGGTAAGGAGTAAAAATTATATTTCATTAATATTATTAATTAATATTGTTATATGTATAGTGAAAAAGACAAATAATCGTTAACTAAAAATAATATTTAACGTAAAAATTGAAGAAACGACAAAAGTAGAAAATACCTGGCAATATAAAGAAGTGAAATTTTTGTAATTTAAAATCACTTTTAAACGGA